CGACAGGCACACACGCCCCAACATCCCCCCGCCCCGCTCCGCCTCCGGTCACATTTGCAGAGACTCTGTTTTCTGGGAAAAAGCTCCGATTGTTGGAGTTGTGACCCGGGCCCAAAGGCGGCCATGTGCGCTCGTCTGCTTGTGACTGGAATGATCGTAACGGATTGAAGCCCTCCCCAGAACGCACCGAGAACCTGACCTATAAAGAGAGCTTTGGGACTGGAGTTCAACTTCCCCCAACGTTTTCTTTAAACTGCTTTCGGATTCAAAACGATGTCCGTACTGCATGAGTGACTATGGCCATGGGCACGGACAAGAGACAGAGGCTGCACCACAGTCATTGCACTTGAACCATTTGCCTTTTTTTTTTCTTTTTTCTTTTTGCAATGTACCCACGTGTCAGGGAACAGCTTTGCTACAGTCTCTGCCTCAGAGAAATCTGCGTTCTCCTGCAAGCCAGAGGCCAATACTGCTCACAAATCTCACCCGTGCGTTTCAGACCTCAGCCTCTCACCCCTGGCACCCCAGCATCAGGTGCGAGCTCCCAACACCGGCCCAGGAGCCACTTCCAGAGGGGACTGGAAGGAGCTGTGGGCAGTTTTGTCTTCCTGGAGTCCAGGCAGCCCTAGGAAAGTCCTGTTTGAGTCTTTACTCCAGAACCTTGAAGCTGCTGCAGTCTGTACTGATGGACACTGCTTCCCCCGCGGTGCGGATAGTGTTGTGTATTGGAAATCACTGCTCCCCGGGAGCCCTGGTAGAGGACAGACTGCCCGGAATTCGGCAGACTGATAGTCCGCAAGTCTGACTGTAGTGACCTAGCACTTTGGGGAGCCGAGGTGGAGCCTGACGTGCCCGTGCAGGGCTGGGAGCCCGACTCGGAGGAAAGAGAGTCCACAGCTGTCTGCTGTGCCGGGCTGGCAGTGGCAGGGCAGCTCTTTTTCAGGAGGCTGCTGCTGACGCTGCCAGAGTGCTGCTGGCTGCTGTAATACCCCGAATTCCCTGCAAAGAGGGCGGAGGAGTCTGTGGAGACCGAGTGGGCAGGGCTGGAGTAGGAGGCGGAGGAGAGGGATGTTTCCGAGGAACCATGAGAGAGGCTGTGTCCTGTCCTCTGGGCTGCGGCTCGGTAGCTGTAGCCAGGAGACTGAGTGAGGTGTCCTCTGTAGGGGGAGGAGCTCTGCTGGAGAAGGGTCTGTGATTCTGCCTGGGGACTGTCAGACTGCAGGAGCTGAACAAGTCGGTGAGGGGGGAAAAAGAAAAGAAAAGAAAAGGCATGTTAGAGACTTCCTCATTTCTTATCTCCTTCTCATACCAAAGGTGCTTCATGTAGCAGGATAGGGAATAACTGGCAGTGAAACCCAGTTTTTCCTCTAATCCTCTTAAAAGCTTTACTTCAAAATGGGTGGGTAATATATGAAAAAACTTACCTGGTAGCTGTATCGAGGACTGTAAACTGCCGGTCCTTTGTGGGCTTCTGGAGTGTCTCCTTCTGCTGTATCTGCAAGGCACAGGCAAGATATTAAACCTCAACCCACTGGACAGAGGCCACAGCAGCTCCCTCTCAAACGACACCTGCATGCACCCCAGCCAACTTCTGCATCCACCTACAGCTGAGACAAGGGCAGCTTCTCCAGCCATCAGGGTTTCAGAAACAGAAGGACGCTAGCAAAAGGCAACTGGAAAAGCCAAACACGTATAAACCAGCAGCGCGTGTTCAGACCTGCTGCATCCCTTACATCGGCAAAGCTCACCTGCCTCAGATCAGCCTATCTGAACAGCGACACAGAGACAGGCTGAACTCCATCAGCTCTTCTGAAGGATATTGGAAGCAGAAGACGGTTTCTAAGGTCTCAGCAATTCTCCACTCAGCTTCAGTCCCCACTTACAGCTGGGGAGATAAAACTGTCCCTTTGGAGAGGGCTGCCAGCAGGGTCCCACTGCAGGTTGTCCTCAGAGGCAGATCCAAAGATTGAGGTCCCGTGTCGTCAGGGCTGTCAGTGCCTCTGCCGCCGTTTTAGAGATTATGCTTTATAAGTCAACTGAGCTGCTCCAAACAGAGTCACTCCTAGACCTCAGAAATGCCTGTTTTTGGAACAGGCTAAGACAACGACAAAAGCGCTCTGAGGTTTGAAGGGTACCAGCAGCACAGTACACACTGATCCGCCTTAGTCATGCGAGAGATCGAGAGGAATAAGCTGCTTCTTGACAGAGCAAGCCCTTCCAGCACCTGTATCTCGGAGGGGGGGTGAGCTTCTTGTCCTACCAGACAACTGAACCTGAACAGCCAAGAAGTACGTACTGCAGGTGAACCAACCACTCTGCCACGGGTGATTTCCAGTTGCTACTACCGTAACCAGGGGGCCAAGCTGGCGATCACGCTTTCTTTGGGAGGGAGTGGTGGGACCAGAAGATCTCACACCAGAGTTGTGATGAGACAGAGCTGTTCATCTGCAGCATCTCAGGGATTCTCAGCAGCCATGTTTGAAATGCTTTGGTGAAACAGCGCTGGAATTAGTATTGAATTTATGTGACAGATGTTTCTCAGTCATGAAACAGGACACACTGCCTTGGTCCGCTCTGTACTTCTGCCAGGCAGGTCTGGCTTTGCACCAGCTGCGCTGGCACGAGGCCCTGTGCCAGCGCCACCCAGGGCTTTGCTGAGGTTGCCCTCTCTGCTGCACCACCATTGCTGGCTTAGCTACACAGGAGTGTGGATGGAGCTGTCTTGCCTGCTGTTGAGGTTCAGAAGCCGCATTCCTAAGGGCACAGGACCCGCACAGGGACCAAGGTGTGAAGTTTCCAGCACATGTCCCGTGCTGGAAACCTTCCATTTTCTGAAACGGCATCTGATGCATCATGTAGCTGTTTGCTGTAGGTGACATCCTGAGTACTGCACTGCAGAAAGCCAAAACTTGGGGGAATTCGAGGCGTGTTTAGTTAAGCAGTCATGCACAGAAGAGACTAAGTGTTCAATCCAGGAGATCGTTGTGATTACCAGAAGTTGAGTATAAGAGTCAGAAGAAATCTAAAGATTTTTTCTGGAAGAAATTGTTTCTTAAGAAGCCAGTCATGCAAGCAAGGTGGCACAATTTCCTGGCAGTGCCTGTTCATGGGAAAAACCTCCACAAGCTAAAAGACTACTGGAAGACTCTAAATTACAAAAGGTAAATAAACATTCCTAAAGCCCTCCTCCCACTGAAATCTGGCCGGGCAAACCCAAAACAACTTTAAGTAAACTTAAAAAGCTAAACTCAACATTTCCCCCCCCATTTGCTAATACCCGCACAAGGAAGGATGCAAAGAAGAAACATTTTTCGTGGTAGTGCTGGCCTGTGCCAACCCAAAGCACGTATGAAATGACAGCTTTAACCGATGGTAATTGCAATCCTCCCAAGTGTGGTGTGCACACAACTTCCAGCTCATTCTTACACACCCCATCAGCAAACTATCCAAGTTTGGGGTTTTTAGTTCCCCACATATTATTATCTGTTACAGCCTCAAGTAAATGTGTATCTTCACAACTCCTACAGGTGACACCAGGCACAGCAGGGACTGAGATACTCATTTGTTTCACTAAGAAGCAGACCAGCAGCTGGGGGAGGGAAGATGGCTTGCAGAAACTAAAGAATCTAAACAAGCTACTGAAGAAACTGCCAGAGTATGCAGAAAAAGAAAAAAATATTTTGCTGTGCTAGGATGAAAGAGACAAAAAGATTTCTGTCAGCTACAGCACTAAGTTTTCATAACTGGGAGTGAGATGGGTTTTATATAACAAGAAAGACGACTGGATGGATCATCAGCGAGCTGTAATCTTATCAGCCAGGAGCCTCAGCCAGCGTCCTGAGCTATGAGGAAGCAGGGGCTGATGGCACCACACAAGCTAAGTTATTTAAATATGATGATCCATAGCTAAAAGTCCCAAGCGAGATCAGGATTCTGAGGGTAAGATCTGTTAGGGAAAACTAATCACATTGAACAGATGCTGTAAAATAAATGAAAGAAAAGTAATTCTGTCTCACAGCTGAGAAATCAGGCAACAATGAGGTGACCTGTCCATCTCGGCCACATCTCACTTTTAGACCACAGGTGGATCAAAGAGGAGCACAATTTCAGCTCAAGTTAGCAATACTGACCCTGCTTGCTACTTGGTGAGGACAATGCTTTATTCAGAGAAGAAAGAAACATCAATATAGAACTAAATTCACCTCAGTAAGGAGGTGCACTTCACACAACTGAAAAATACCATAACTCAGGGAATCAAGTAACTTCAAAAAGAGCTGAAGTAAGCCTTGGAAGCTAAATCAGCTCTAAGCATCGCCTAAAGCCTACACTTGCATTTTATTGCAATAATACATTTATCTGAGTGTTCAGCCAACTAGAATTATTAAATGACAGCACTTTCATCTCCAGTACACAGGGGCACTTGAGGCAATGCAGCTTAACTCATCTGTCCAAGGACAAAGAAACTATCCCTGCCAGAGCCAAGATGCAAGTAGTCTTGAATCCAAACCCTGGAGAAACCTGGCGGTCTTCCAGGTCTAGCAGAAGAGGAATACAGGCTCAAGCAGTATCTGAATAACAACCAAGTCTGGTTCACAGAAGGCTCTTGTAAGGCATCAATAATGTTAAAGACGAAGGGACAACTAACTTCATAGACAAGTCTGCAAAGTTATGAGAACCCATCATTTCCCACCAAGCAAGTGTTCCAAAGTTTCGTCTTCCTACCTGCATCTCTCTCAACGGCACTGTCACAGGTAGGTGAGGATTCAGTTCTCTGGGATACCTTTGCACCACTCCGCAGCACCTTCTCAAGGATGCCTCGGCCCTCTCGAAGCCTCTCCACTGACGTCGGGACCATCCTGCCACAAAAAAAAACCGGGAACAGCTGAGGATTATGATTACGCAGCCGAGAGCGACGTGACCAACACACAGCGGGGCTGTGGGGTCCTCGGTGTGACCACAGCGCAGCTTTAAAGTCTCTGCCTAAAATCACTGGTGCAATGTTAGCACAAATGCAAACCCTGTGACAGAAGGGAGGGACCAGACACCACCAGCACTCTAGACAGATGACGAATAAACTTCTGAACTGATTTTGCAGTGTAAATAACCTCCTGTGGGATTTTAGACTGTCAGTCACTGGCTACTACCATAGCATTGCCCTCAGGAAAACAGAAGTCTTTTATCGAAAACACGGCATAAACATCCAGCTCAGCAGATCACCTCATTACAGGACACCTTCTCCCAGAAAAACTGTTTTGAGATTCAACAGCATTTTGAAAAACCCTGGTACTGTTTTAAGGTGAGATGCAGCTATATCACACAGCTTACTTTTACTCAAATCAAAAAGAAGCAAAGCCAGTACCTTTGTGATAATTCAGTGTCAAGACAATACAGTCAGATAACACAACGTTCCTGGAGCAGAGCTAGCTTGGCCATTCTGCCCATTTATGGTACTTTTACCTCACGTTTTTTGTAACGTGAAAATTCTGTGCTCAAGACTGGTGCTAGATTTTGTTCCACTATATATTATAAGTGCCCCGTGTGAGGATGGAAAAGAGGGGAAGAGGTTTTCCTAAAGCCAATCTGTGGAAGAAAAACCGACCCCTGGACAAGCCCCAGGCCCTTGGGTCAATATTCCATCTACCATGCAATGGATCACCTGAATCTCTTTAGAAATATGTGTTTTAACCTACAAGACAGTAGCACCTTGACCCCTGCCTTCACTCTAGATGCTAAAGAACATGCACCTTAGAAATGCCTGAATTTAAATATTTAGTATAATATTACATACACTGTATATCATGTAAGCAGCTTAACATCACATTAAGAGATTTCTGATTTTTCTTTCATTTTAAAGATGTGTTGAAAACTGTGCTTTACATTAGCTTTTTTTCTTTTTTTTTAAATAAATAGCCCAGACATTCACCCCTCAATGAAGCAGAGGAGAGCAGAGGCCAGAGTTCACACCTCATGGAGGTGAATGGGGGTGAGCGGGTGAATTCACACCTTCACTGCTGCTACTGTTTTGCTGGAGACAGTTTTCTGCAGGGCTGGGTTTACTGGGCAGCAGCACATTGGTTTACATTGTGATAGCTGTATCGTGGCAACTGAAAGAGTCAGAAACTTATTTTTTTTTTAAATGAAAGCTATTGGCATTTATTGTAGGATTCAGCAAAAATGTGGACAACCCTAAAAATTAAGGCGTGTAATTTTAGTTCCTGCCATTTTCTTCTGTCCCAGTATTATATTATTGTGAATGCCTGGACACGTATCTGAAATGCAAGCACTCAGAGTTAAAGATGAAACTGGGTCACAATTTTAAACTCAATAACATACGATTTCCGACACATTTTTTAAAAGTAGAAGGTGACTGTATGTTTTGTTAGCCTTGGCCGTTAAAAAAAACACAGAAGAACTAGATTTTTAAAAAGCAGCAAACCTGCTTAATCCTTTTCCAAAACATATCAGCAGGGTTTCCACTTTAGATCCAGTGTCCCGTAACAATATGATTTTTATTCCCACACAATACTTACTCACGAAAGCATGTGAGAAACTTCACCTGCTGAGGAGCTGCAGATGAAGCTCACAGAATATAAAGCACAGCACTACAGCAAGGTTGCCACACTGACACCTCACTCCAAAATAGTTTGGTGTTTTTTTCATTCTTCTAGGTTTTTCTTTCACCCCAGGCAGAAGGAAGTGGCACAGGAGAAGGGCAGCACAGGATATCAACACTTGCACAGAATAATACTTAATCATAAAATAATTATTATAAACTAATCATCAGCCGACTGCCTCAGCTGCAGCCAGTCCCAACAGAAGGTCATCTGGTAGCCAGGGTACTGTCAGAGCTACATGACAAAATATTTCTATTAAACTCCGCTTGAAGTGTGACAGAAAAGGGAACAGAACTTATTGCTCCTGCAAATTCACCCAAAATGATGTTTCTCAAGCACTTCCAACACAGATTTCATACTTCTCAGTGCCTTCAGCACTGCTTAGCATCTCTTCCCTTGCCACCCCCCTGCTGTTACACGAGCAGTGACACAGCTGCTTCTGTGGAAAAGCAGCACTAAGAAATGTATCCTCTTTTTTTTCATGGATGAACAGAACTAGAATGCAGAGCAGCAGAGATGATGTACCACCATCAGTCCTAACCATTGCTGCACTGACACTAATGCAACATTCTGCACTTTGGTGCTGCAGTACTTAATTTTTTGGATCAGATGTTATTATCAGGTTCAAAAGTTTTCGGAGACCAGCCCTTCCCCTTATCAAACCTTCTCAAGGCAACACGCTAAAAGTGGTTTTTCCGAGCCTTTGGCAAGTCACCGACTGGAGCCTGATAACTGCTCTTCAGGCTGTGTGTGCAAGGCACTAGGAAAGGCTGGAGCTGTTTCACTGCCCCTGCTTCTCAAATGCAGAGGGCTCTGTTAGCTCTCCTTCTGAATAGGAGTTGACTTAGTACCACTCATGTCCAGAAAGAGTGGAGGTTCAGCAAAAAAAGACCTGGATTAAATTCTCATTGCAAGAGCCAAGACCTTAACAAACACAAGATCTTAAAACTGGTGGAAGAGACAGACAACTGTTCAACATTGTATCTTTCCAGACAGATTTTTAATAACTAAACCGAGAACTGAAGGGCAGGCTGAGGAGGCTGCTGGTTTCCTTCACGGTTGTTTAGCGAGAATAACGCCAGAGACCCGACTGCATCCACCCAACTGTTAGGGAAATGCACCCCAGAGAGCTTGGTCCCTCTCTGCGGAGCGATGTCAGGCTTGCTGGGAAGGGTAACACTCACCACCTACTGCTGATGTTCTCCTGGGATTTGCTGAGTGAAGTCGAGGAACCAGCCCCCCTCGAGTCTGGCGGGCTGATGTCCTCTACGTGAGGCAGAGAGGGATGAGAAGGGGAGAAGCCACTTTGTGGGGAAGACGGGGTTCGTGCTACCGAGCCCGGCAGAGTGTTGCCATCTGCATCAGTCACAGAACCGCTGCTGCCCTGTCGGGTAGGAGTCCCTGTACATCGTGCTGAATCGCCTCCCTCCTTGGCTTCTTGTTTCCTCTTGCGGTATTCTAGTAGAGACACCTGGGAGAGAGAAATGCAGCTGTGAGTCAGGGAACGCAAAGGACCAGGATAGGAGGAGGAACACGCCCACACGTCATTTAACAAATCTATTTCTCTGGGTTAGCAGATAAAACTTTGAAAGGTATCTGGGATTATGAAATCTTCCTGAAGCTGCAGGTGCTCTGGAAAGTGAGCTAAGTGGTACGAAACTGGACCACTCACCGTGTGACACACTCATCCACATTTTACTCTTTATGACCAATACTACGAGGAGTTTGCATCTTCAACAACGTGGAATTTCACATTGCTTCAGTATATGCCTGTACAGTCAAGCATCAGGACTCTACACGCTCCTCCTCTCAACACACTTCACTCTCTCTGGTTTGTGGCATTATTTAAAATGCGTATTGCTATCTCCAAGACAGGTAAGAAGAGCCTTTGTCGCAGGACTGGCATCTTCAGAGAATCTTGTTCATCTGTACCAGTGCAGCTACACTAACGCTAAAAATTGGTAAAGCCTTGCGCTGAATTTGAACCTCTTTAGAGTAGGTTGCTGCGATGGTGGTATTGCAAACTTCCAGTGCTACCACCTAAACAAACTACTCCTAGCAAAGGTAGAATGTATTTCGTGCAAAGCAGTGTCAGATTTGTCAGAGACACAGACCAAAAGGTCCCAAGATAACTCAGTCTTGTAACACAGGGATAGCAGAACCTAAAAATTACACAAATACTTCCAGCTGAGCTCTTACCTTTCAGTGTGCCTTCCCCTGAAGAGTTATTATAAGGCACAGAGACATAAAGGACTTGCAGAAGGCAGCTCTACTGAAGGACTTCTCAACTGCGACTCAATGCCTCTATAGAAGGCTTTATGATGCTAAAATATTGAACAGGGTATTTCCAAAAGTAACTCAACATATGAAGGCTTTAAGATAAGTGTAACTTTAGAAGAAAAAGGAAGAAAATCAAAACCCTCCAGAAACAGAATGGAAATAAGATACTCCATCTAGCTGGACACTTACACAAGGGATCCGAGTTACCACACTCGCAACAACAAATAAAGCCAAGCACAGGAAAAGGTACCAACACACATTTAGACAAGCGATTCCTTATTTGTTCCGTGAATACCCAGTTTTACTGTAGTGACACCAGACATAATTTTCACTTGGTTTTAGTCCCACAAGGGTCACTGGCCTGCTATTAGAAACCAATATGCATTTGCTTTCTTGAGACAATATTCCTGTGGTTTTAGTTTCACAGTGCTAAAATTTAAGTAAGAATCTTCATCTGCTTTTACTGCAATATTATTCTATTTCTTTAGTAATGGAAATATTCTATTATATGTTCTAAGGAAGAGCCTACGCTTTCTTTTGAAACATTAGACCCTCTCTTTCCTAGTAGGGGCCCTTTTCATCCTGATAAATAACACCTTCACAAACCAGTACAGCTGCACCATGATATTGCTCTGGGCCTTGTGTCACTTTAACAACTGTTTCTGAAAGCATCGTGCTCTCCTTTCTGTGGTACAAGAAGAGGTGTTTTCATTGTAGCCTTTTTCTTCCATTTCTCACATCAAAATCATAGAATGGTTTGGGCTGGAAGGGACCTTAAAGGCCATCTCATTCCAAGCCCGGACACCTCTGACCAGACCAGGTTGCTCAAAGCCTGGTCCAGCCTGGCTTTGACATCTTGCCTAAAGAGCAGCATATTCTCTTTTAACAACTTTTAAACTGCTTTCATCCAGGCACTGGATACCTGGATTATTTGTCCAGACTACATTTTAGTTGTATCCCACTCTCTGTTCTCCCTGTTAGTCTTTCCCACGGTGTCTACTGTTCCCACTCAGATTCCTGCAGCCTAAGAATTTCTTTAACAAGAATACTTGCCTTCTTCCTTTGTGGCGGGTTCTGGGGAGCAGATCTGACGCCTTCACAAGCTCTCTCGCCGCAGGGAGACATGGATCCATGCACTGTCTCTTTAAGCAGCCCTGACTCGTGTCTGCTGAAATATCCTTCGGCAGGAGAGCTGCAGCATCCTGCTTCTGAATTCATTGGCTTCCTCTCTCCCAAAGGAGTAGATCCTCTCAACAACCCATCTACACGTGGCATAGCGTTCAATGGGGAGAAGGCATACATTAAATTAAACTCTGTCCGAAAAGCCTGATCAGAGCTTCGTAGCAGCATCTGTGCTTCCCCACTTTTCCCTGGGAAGTTCATCTCTGAAGTAGAGTTCATGGAGGGTTGTGGAGCCAGATCAGAGGATCCAAAGGTGAGCAGCGATGGTCGTTCCGGGCAGGTGTTTGCACTGGAATCCAGGTACCCACCCTTCAAATCCGGGTCAGATCGGAGGCAGAGCTGGAAAATCCAAGGACACAGGAGAAGGGTGGGAAGTTAGGAAAAGGAAAGGGTGAGGGGCAAGGGCGGGGAGAGAAACTCGAGTGTCAGAAAGTACTCTGTATGATGCTAGCTTACTGCTTTCCAGTTCCCTTCCGATCGCCCCTTTGGTCCTCTCCTGCACCATTTTGCTCATTTTACAAGCGAATGACTGAGACTAAGTAATGCTCAGCTGAGCAGTCCAGTACGAGATGCCCTTTCTCCTGCAGCAGTCTTACTGCAGCAAGAGGATAAGGCTCAGCACTATCCCCAGGCAGTCAGTGAAGAAAAATGAGGCATTTTCAATACGCCCCAAAGTTGATGTTAACACACAGTACTAACTAGGTTCCTTATGGGAAGGAGAACGGAGAAGATCTGCTGTCCACTTGCTGTTTTATTAGACAAGTTCCTCACTGTCCCAAGTCAGCCACTACCAATTTCCTAACAATGAAATGCCCAGGACCTCCAAACCTTTTGTTTTCACTTATTGTGAGCTTTGGAAATCTCTAACAATAGTACGTTCATTTAATTTATACTGCTTTTCTACATTTTATATTCTCTAACAAAACCATAATGGCATCATCTTTGTGCTGTCACGGTTTCTGAAGCGCTAGGCACTGACACAACTGTATATCCATTTATCTGCTTCAACTGCCAAAACCCCTCCAGGGCAATGGCATAATCATCTCCTTCACCGTGTTAATATGTCAGGATCTCAGACAATGAGCATAACTGACAAGATTTCATCCTCTTTGCAAGACTACAGTGCTGAGGGAAACAGACAACAGCACCAGGCACCAGCTCTGCCCTACTGCTGCTAGTATTACAGCTCCAAGCAACCTGCCACATTGGAGACAAGTGTATTTTCAACTATGTAACAGTCTCTGAGCAAGGTACTCATATTTTACAGCAGGCCAGTAGGTAAACAAAATACTATTTTCTGGCATCTCCTCAATATTTCAAGTCTGCAAGTGAAGAGGTGATAAATCAAGGCTGAAGGGAGCAGGCTAGGTGCACCACACTGTGTCCTCCCTAAGTCAAAACTAGCAGCGGACACTTTCCCTTTTCTTCCTCAGTACTAGTTTTGCTGCTGCTGAGTAAATAACACACCACTTGTCTGCTGGACCAGAGCTGAGGCTGATTATGGTGCTTTCAGGGTGTCCACACCTCTTGTCTTCACCTCAGCAGCTGAGACATGCCTATTTCCAGGCTGCCTATTTCCCACGAGTGTCATCAAGTCAATAATAAACTCAGTCTTCAATTCATTTGTTCTCTTGTGGTAACCTTGAAAACCCCCCTCAGTCTTATTGTGACTCGTGCCCCACCCCTATTCCCACTCCCTCTGCACATCTCACCCTGCCCTCCCACCACGGCCCCAAAGGCACAGCCAGGCACGCCCTGCGCACGCGGCCTCGCGGGTGCGATACCCACCTCGGGTGACATGGACTCAGGCCTGTGCGCAGGGGAGCTCTCAGGGGAGGATACGTTCTAGAGGAGGAAAAAGCATCTTGTCATTCCTCTACTTAAAAAGTCAAGAAGCAAAATAAAACCCATCAAAAAATAAGCACAGAGGTTAGCAATAGCTATTCTAACAAACACAACCCCAGGAACTGGCCTCAGCCTGGACAACTCTGCCGGTTACGTGGTTCCTAAAGCTCCCTAGAAGCACAAACAGGACCGGGTTACTGTGTTTCATGCTAGAACTGAGTGCCCCAAACCAGAGCACATAAAAAGCATCTCATTTGTTATATTTCTGATGCTGTCAGGTAGCTTACACCATGAAACATAGAGAAAGCCGTTTATGTTGTTCAGTCAAAGAACATGGGAGTGATGGAAAGCCTGGTTTTGCCCAAACACTGTAGTGAACTTCCACAGGCTTTCTATCAGAAAATAAAAACATCTCCTTCAGGCCCCTGTGGGTCACCTTCCCAGCTGAAGTCAAGAGAATAGGTGTGAATGGACAGCTTTGTGCAATGTCACAGAGGATCTATCATCTGAGCACCCAGCAGCAGGCAGCAGCACACACACACAAGGGCACTGTTAAGGCCACCTCCTCAAGCACTTTCCTTTCCATGCTACTGAGCAGGCCTAAAATAGAAATAGAAAGGAAGAAGGTTTCCCAGAGAAGCACGGTAGGAGCCCCTGTCCTCTGCAAAGCAGAAACACTCAGAAAGCTGAGGAATCTCAGACACTTCTTAGTTAAACTGGATTCTGACAAACTCCAGAGAAAAGGCAGATGCATCATCATGCTTCTAGTCGCTGCTATGAATATGGGAGGGGCTAAACATCCTCCAATTTGTTTCCAGTCTAAAAAAGCCCAAAACTGAGTCTAAAAAAATCGCTCAGTCTCTAAAACCCTGACAAACCAGAGTTTCAGAAGCTTATGATACAAGCTCTTCAGAGAACAGCTAAGAAATTAATTAACAATCAGGTTTCTTAAAAGCCACAGCTTTCAAAAACGTATTTCCCAGCACGCAGCATCTTCTGCTCATTTGAGGAGGTTTGTGAGCTGACGGAACAATCTTTCTGTTCTCTTCCCATAGTGCCACAGGACTGAAGTATAAAGCTTTATACATGGGGAGATGTATTCACTGAAGTTAAAATAACTAAATGAAACAGACAGACACGATTTAAAATAGCAATATTATGAATGAGCTGCATTGAGGGAAATAAAGTTTGAACAAAGCTGCCCATGGTCTACTGAGCTGTTAGACTCTTTGAAAAGAGAGAAAAGGTAAAAGAGGCAAGTAAGGTACAGATGCCCACTGAAATCCAGGCTTCTCATGCCTTACCCATGGCAACAGAAATAACTAACACGAAGGTGAGACAGAAAATCAGTGACTAGACTGTGGATGTCCATGGCAACACTGCCTAGATCTACCATCTCATCCAGAGGAGAGGTAAGGATCATTTTCAATCAAGCTCTCTGCCTGAAACAGTCTTTGATCTCTCTCCTCAATGCTCCACAATCGTCCCTGCTAACCTCTACAGATTTGCTTCTTAGACAGCTTGCAAGAAAGGACTCTTAAAGAAGTTTGCACTGAGCAAAAACACCGCAAAGGACTGTTTGTCCTGTTGCAAAACACGAGAGATTCCTACAAAGCACCCCCTGGTACGAAGCAGTCTGTCATTGTACAATTTTTTTAAAATGGTTTTAACAGGCAGAGTGTGAGCAGCCAGTCTGAAGAACTCAATTTAAAAAAAAAAAAAGTAACACTAGGAAACAAACCTAAAACTGCAAACAGAATGGCACAGAGCAGCGACACAAAGTGGAAGGTCCAAGCTGGATGGATGCCATTAACTCTCCCACTGAGTTCAGAGCAAGGGAAAGCACCTACACAGCCTGCTCAGTACTTCTGCAAACTTTTGCAAAGGGGAACGATCAAGAAATCAAAGGTACAAAGTATTTTCCTGCTACCCAGTCAAAGGAAATGAAAACCAGAGCATATAGTGGAAGCCAGTGTAAAGTATTTATACCATACTTGGGGTTACTGAAAGCTGTTCAGTGAAAGAGGAACCGAGGATGTCAGCCAGCCTTGGCAAAGTGGAGCACTGCTGCACTCTTTGGAAAAGGCAGGGATTGGAAGTCACATTGGCACAGAGATCTGAAGTGGGGAAGATGACTAAAGAACACTGAAAAGTCTGCAAAATTTGGGAGCTAATACACAGAAATGGAGAAAAGAATTGGAGTAATGCTACTCATAGCTTCACAGCAAGGCCTGGCTGCAGCAAGGTTCGACCTTTAATAGAGCAGGAGATTTGGCCAGAAGTGGAGCAGAAAAAGGCAGCAGTGCTTTTGAGTGTGACGCTGTGATGCTGCTCAAGAAAACAGCCACATACTCAAAAAGGAAGGTGTCCCCAGTGCTACCTCCACTGCAAATATTCCAGTTCCTCTCTCCTTACCGCTCCCAGTCCCCAGGGCAGATTTACCTCAAACTGTAGTGGAGTATTGCAGCGACTAGCAGCCAGAGAAGGAATCGGTGAGAACATCACGCCATAACCATTGCGACTCTCCTCCTCTCCCGGCAGCGACGAGCAGGGCGTAGCCAGCTGTGGGCTCGCTGAGCCAGGAACCGAAGGGATGGGAGGCGGAGGGGTGATGGGAGACAGCGGCCTCAGCAACTTCTTAACGTTCTGCTCCATCAAGTAGCGAGACTTCCACTTCTTCAGGGGGCTCAGCAAGTCTGAAAAACAAACCGAGGTGAGGATAGGGCTGAATGATTAACCATAACCATTAGCCATGTGCAAACCACACACTTTCTCCTTCCCCCTACTCCCAACCCAAACGGAGCCCAGGAGCCTCCCATGTGACTACACAAGATGCCTAAAAATGTGCCTAAAAGTGCCTCTGAAGTACTTCTGCACCAGTTGTGAGAAATATTTAGATACTGAGAACAGAAAAATACATCACAGAAACACACAGTAACCAAGGAAAGGAAATATTTCGACTAGAAGAAAGCACAAGAAGAAGCTAGGGGAAAAGACGACAGGAGAGGATAAGAAAAGGAGTGTGGAGGAGAGGGCTCAGAGGACATGTCACTGTCACTGCTATGAACAGACTACAGGCAGCTCCGTTATCATTGGCGAACTTATTAATTCCCTATAGGCTACAGCAATATAGGTCAAAAACACTTCTCTCCCACAGAGAATTAATGTCTTTCCCTCAGGCCTACCCCTATTCAAAATATCCTCTTTTGATACTTTTCAACAGTCAATTCTGTATTATCTGTCTGCTGTCTAGTTTCCTGTTTGTCGTCCTTGGAAAACTGATCCCTGACTGGGCAGACCTTCATCCTATTTCTCTGTAGAAAGATTCAGACACAATATTTAACCATTCTACTGCTTTACTCACAGATTTTATTTTCTCCATCTTTGAGACCTACTTAATCATTTGCTTTTAATATACGTTCATGTGAGACTTTGCTATTATCTTCCTATAATCAGCAGACACTTAGTTGTCCACCTAACAGCATCCTGCTGAGAAGAGATGACACTGTACTCTTCCCTCCCTCTTTATTGGACAAATGATCACATGGCACTGAGGATGATGATGCAAGACAAAGTGATTATCTTTTCACAGGAAAAAACCGAGAAACTTCACACACGCTCAAGCTCGAATGAATCTGCAGGAATTTGAACGAATGGCAAAATAACATTCTCATCTGCCATGGAATTGTGCCGTTGAGCAGCAGGACACATGAAGACGCCATCCTGCCTTTGCTATTCCACAGCTTCCCCAGTTTCACTCAAGTGCCCACGCTGCCCTGATGGTGCTGAGCACTTACCTGTGTCATCTTTGCAGATGCTGGAAGAGCTGCTGTTCTCGTTACTTTGGTATAGACATTGGGTTCTGTTCTCTTGTGGAGCTGGTGAGGTCTGAGTCATCCCCTCTTCCAGGGCTTGTTTGATCCAGCGCTGAAACAGAACGAGACTACATAAACATGCAACCCCTCTGGTACTTTCTACGTCACCTTGCGGGATGCACTCAAACTCCTACACTTCTGTGCAGCAGGGCAGGCTGCTCAGAACACTGATATTACCTCCTTCGCGTGCGCTCAGACAGGAACCCGTTAGAACACGGCTGCTAGCACTGAGTCTACCACCTACTGTGATGGGGCTGACTACGCGCTCCTGATGAGATGTGTTCTGGGGATCAGCAGTCTTCAGCAATAACACAGAGATAAGAGCGAATTATAAACAGATAAAATGCAAAACTCTGGCAGCTAAAAAAAACAGTAAAAGCAATCTTAATTAAAAGAAAAGGGAGATAAATACGATGAAGTATCTTAAAACCCTGATTTTGTTTTTTTGGGTGGGGAAACGGTTTCTTGCCCAGGATCACAAACACACTGTCCCCCTGCTCCACTAAGGCAGTATTAGAGCTTAACATAGACTCTGCTCTAATAATTCCAGCAGAGAAATGGCTGAGTTTAACAATTCTTCCAGGCCTGTGCTTGCTGCCAGAGACAAAGAGCAGAAAAATCTGATAAAATGTAAGCAGCAGTTTTCAAGGGGGCTAAAACAAGAAGAGAATAATAAAGGTAAATCTTTTCTTTGGCTACTAAAGTCAGGCGGTCTTCTGAACACAATAAAGAATGTTTCACACCTCATGCAAGTGAATGTGAACTGAAGTGTCAGCAAACTGCTGCAGCAGTGCAAGACACTAACACTGTGTCTTGATACCAACTGACTCCTTATGGCAAGCAGGAAACCTTTGCTTAATTTAGTATAAAAAAAAATAATTGCCACAGTATAGGAAAAAACACCCAGGTGATTCAGTAAAACAACAACTGTGAAAAAAAAAAGACTGTAATTTGCATTTGGGTAGTTCACCCAAGAAGAATTCACTTTACCAGCTTTTTCTCCTCCCAGAGAGCTTTAAAATCGTAAGTTTACCTTTCAGTAATCCACAGCTCATCTGCATGTCAGCAAAAAGCATCCTATCAGAGATACAAGTATGTGTCTTATGATTCCTCAAAGCTATCATGAAAGTGCATCAGAAACTCATTGGTCACAATCCTCAAAACGAAAACTTCAATGCGAGGATGAAGAGCAGCTGACAGGATCTATTTTGATGTCCTTCACTACTGTACAGCAGATGCTTCTTCTCTGTTCAAAGATAACTCAATGGATTCCACTGCGGCCACCAGGAAAAGTGAGAAGTGCCAGCCAGTCTGGAGCACTGCTACCTCAAATGCAGCATCTGATCTGAGAGCCAGGGCACTGTACAGTGCGTGATTAACGTGAGCAGGTTACACAGTTCAGTTTCCTTGCGAGGCTCAGACCCTGGCACGCTTTGGCTGCAAGCTGAGATCATCAGCTGAGGTATTTTGGCACAGTCCGCAGTAGTTTAAGGAAGAGTCCTGCTGACAGTCCAAGAAAATACGTGATCTATTTCAACAGCCTTTATAAATCAGCCTTCCTGGTGAAGTAGTCAGAATCAGACAAGACAAAGATCAGGTCTTGAGAGAACAACGTCATCAAGTTCTGGACCATTTCTAGACCTCAGCTGGCTGAAAAAGAGGTCTTCCCCCGTGAGAGTTTTCTAAACGTTTCTGAACACGGGAAGCAGATTTCTTCTACATCTCCAAAGTGTTAGTGATAAGAACACTGAATGCTACCAAGCATTTCCCTTGAAAAAGGCTGGGTAACTCCTATAAAGTAGATGAAATCCCTCACTCACACAGTTATTGGATTACTTACTTTCAAAAAAATAGAAATTTAAGAAATTATTTTCTCCAACACCTGGTCTGGACACAGAAGCTTTTGGTATTTTATTAATTATTTATATAGTGAAACAGGCAGTGTACTTAAGTTTTCAGATGATGCCAACCCAGGAGAAACAAGAACATGCTAAAAGACAGTATTCAAGGCTTTCCTACTGAACTGGGAAATGGATGGGGAAAACAGGCCACAGGTCAGCACAGGCTAGAACAAAGTACTATATAAAGCCAGAAACAATCAACCCTAAAATTACAGGCCAGAAAACTAATGGATTGTTCCAACAAACATAGTAAATCACAAACTGAACGCGAGTCTAAATCAACCTGTCAAAGAAAACTCAGTCATCATGCTGGGATGCACAAAGTGGGCATAAGCTACGAGTCACAGAGCAACCTTCTGCTTTGCAAGTGCCCCAGCTGCAACAGAACGTCCCGTTTCGGACACTCAGGTTCAGGGAAGACGTGAACTAAACAGAAGTCATCTGTGGTGAGACTTGTCTGTTCCCTCTCCAGCAGTGAGAATTATTGTAGGACTACAAAACAGCCAAATGCAGCAAGAGATGGGAAGGCTAGTTCTATGACAGCAGTTTTCACAGAACTGGGAGCTTGCTGGCCAGTTGTACAGCAAAGGCACCAAGCAGAGAACTGAGAATAACTCTGCCAGTTTTGCTCTGGATGCTTCTCTTTTCCCTGAGGCTCAAAGACACTGCTGAGGTTCAAAAAACCAGTTCAAACCAGTTCTCTGCTTAAAGGTGCACAGGGAGATTGCCCAGGCACATACAAACAAACACAGTTTTGCTCATATGAGTATACACGAACCTAAGAAGGAAATACCCAAGAGAGACCTCAGTTTCTTTTTGTAGGTGCCTGTTAGGGCACGACAATAATTTGGCTGAAGGTGGAAATACTAAAGTCCATAGGAAGGCAAAGAAACCATGATGTGGTACCAGGTTTTGAAAGCTACCAAGATCGAAAGATCAGAAGGAATTTAAAAATTAATCTCTGGTTCTCACAAAGGAACTGAAAGACCCTCTGAGCAAAGCTGATGGGTGATAGGCCAGATGAGTTCTGACAGAAATCCAACTGAGCAAACTAACCTGAGTTACTGTTTTCCTGTGAATGGGTAAATGCTGGCATTGACTGGCCACGCACCATCTTGGAGGAATGAAGTTCTCAGCTGTGGGCTTGCTCTTGTGAACAGGCAAACTCAAAGCTTTGCTAAACAACAAAAGGTCTCCAAAGACAATGGATTCTGACTGAGACACTCTATTCTTGACGTCTTTTGCAACACTGTCCTGTCTCCACAACACCAACCATCCTCTGACTGTGAAAGCAGTAACATAAAACATTTTAAGGACGACAACTAAATCTCCTTGAATCCTACACACTGGGTAATAGTCACGGCAGGTTTGGAAGTACGTGTTCCTAAGGAGAGTCACAGAACAGTTGTTCTACCACAGCAAAAGGCAAGGATGAAGACGGAAGCCCAGCTAGGAGAGTGGCAGGA